GACCGTCTCTCTCTCTCTCTCTCTCTTGCTCTGGGGATCGTCTCTCTCTCTCTCTCTCTCTCTCTCTTGCTCTGGGGACCGTCTCTCTCTCTCTCTTGCTCTGGGGACCGTCTCTCTCTCTCTCTCTCTCTCTCTCTCTCTCTCTCTCTCTCTCTCTCTCTCTCGTCTCTCTCTCTCTCTCTCTCTCTCTCTCTCTCTCTGGGGACCGTCTCTCTCTCTCTCTCTCTCTCTCTCTCTCTCTCTCTCTCTTGCTCTGGGGACCGTCACTCTTGCTCTGGGGGCCCAAACACTGTCCCTCATCACTCGACCTAAATATTGTTCAACAAATATACATTCAGGAAGATCAAATTTCAGTTGTAAGAGGATATATATCAGAGGCTCCACCTCACAAAACTGTGGCAATATATGTTCCTGGTGCTGGGAGAGGTGTTACTGGCTAGGTGGGCTGGGAGAGGTGTTACTGGCTAGGTGGGCTGGGAGGGTGTTACTGGCTAGGTGGGCTGGGAGAGGTGTTACTGGCTAGGTGGGCTGGGAGAGGTGTTACTGGCTAGGTGGGCTGGGGGAGGTGTTACGTGTGCCGTCCGGTAACAAGCCTCTTCCACCTAGTAAGTCATTCCTGTATATAGACAGGACGGCTCCTAGTTCATTTTGAGCATGTAGGGGAGTGAAGCCTAGTCAACTTTTCCAACATGGCGCATGCAAGAATTGGCGCCAATCTGTCGACGAGATCGGGTATCCCGTATGTTAAGGAGCAAGATGATTGGATCCTTGCATGAAGGAGTAGCCAGTCATGTGGTGACCAATGGTCACGTGACACGCAGGAGGCACCTGAGTGGTGCAGACAAGCCGCTCCCGAGACTCCCAGTGCACTTTGAACGTTCGTGCACAAAGGACCTAATGAGGTAGACTTCATAATATTGTGTTTCGCGGGTACGAAGTGCCCAAGAGTAAGATGACAACGACGTACCGCTATTAAGGACATTATATATATATATATATATATATATATATATATATATATATATATATATATATATATATATATATATATAATATATGCAAGAATTTGTAAGGTAATAATTTGTGGGTAAGAGAACATGGGACGACACGAAGCGGAAGATTCACAGGTGAATCGCTGTTTTAATTAAAACTCGAGAGGTCTGAAGAGTATGTTAATGAAGCAGTTCTTGCGGCGAAGCAATAGGTCCTGGGGATAGTTCCCTCCCTCCGTCCCTCTATCCATCCACTAGACCGAGGATGGTGATGTGACCTGCAGCAGTGCTGGCGACGTCCTGAATATTATTTTTATGATCTTAATCCCCCTCCCCCCTCACTGAGGAGATGTCTGAAGTGTGAGTGTATATATGCTATAGTTGACCTGTTGCTCAAATTAAGTGTTTTTTTTTTGTGTTAAAACTACATTGGTCGTGTCTTGTGGAGTCTTATCTGTGTTAAAACGTCTGATTTGTTGTCGTTAAAGATTCGCTACCTGGAACGAAAAGTTCCAAGTAGCACGGGCTATGGTGAGTCCGTGAGGAAATGTCTTGAGTGTAAACCACTGGGGGTGATTGTGAGGTATTGGGTCGTTTGTCTAGTTATACTTCTCGGTCTAGAGGGCTGACTGTCGCCAATTCAAGACTTTACGTGTCCAGTTACGACACCTGTACATCTCTCTTGGACCAAGGTAGCATATACTATATATATTGAAGAGTTTAAGAGCTTCGACTCTTCGCTACCCAAATGGGGTATTATTGGTATGGATAATATCGTAGGTCTTACGGAGCTTGTAAACCGTTTCATAATAATAAACTAAGGTGTGCATGTGTCGTGAGTGGAGACTCAAGTGATTGGCGAATCCTGACCCCCCTAGTGATGTGCATCCCTCCGTTGACTTGATGATGTCTTAAGTGTCTATAACTGCACCAAGCTACATCCTGGGGATGTGTGAGAAATATATATATATATATATATATTATATATATATATATATATATATATATATATATAAATATGATTAGAGGAAAGTACGTCAGGAATCAGTAAATTAGACAACCAACGATTAGAAAGGCGGGGTCCAAGAGCTAACAACTCGATCCTGCAGGCAGAAATAGTAAATGCAAATAGTGTTTACTATTTCCTCCCACACGGCCACACCTCCCCCCCCCCCCCCCCCGGGGAGACACACAGCCACCAGCGCATGTTTAATGACCCGAGCTGAAGCACTTATGGACCGCCAGTAGAGGGGCGTTGGTGTGGGGAAGCCACGAGCAGCGCTCCCACCACCACCACCACCCTGCTCCACCCTCGCCTAAAATGTCTACTGACGGTACCTATTTACTACCAAGCAGTAAAATAGATACCTGGGTGTTAGTCAGCTGTCACGGGCTGCTTCCTGGGGGCCTGGTCGAGGACCGGGCCGCGGGGACACTAAAGCCCCGAAATCATCTCAAGATAACCTCAAGATGACGGTATGATTATAACCATCGTGCACATCAACACTCTTACTCGTAGTTGTTACAACTGCAACTGCACTCTGCCTGTGCACTCTGCCTGTGCAGAGTGCACTCTGCACTGAGCTCTGCCTGTGCACTCTGCCTGTGCACTCTGCCTGTGCACTCTGCCTGTGCAGAGTGCACTCTGCACTGAGCTCTGCCTGTGCACTCTGCCTGTGCACTCTGCCTGTGCACTCTGCCTGTGCAGAGTGCACTCTGCACTGAGCTCTGCCTGTGCACATCTTCTTCATTGCTCCTTTGAACACACTGAGGTGACGGTTGTTGCTGTGAGTGAAGCCCCAGTGATGGGCAGATATACCTCTCAATACGTATGTAAAACCATTTTGTCATCAGTCATTCCTTTGTAATACGTATTAAATGTATGAAGTTGTCGTATGAGTTGATGGTCAACCTGTTAACAAAATGAGTGCCGCGTCAGCCTAATTGTGTATATTTACAGCACTGCAAGAGTTAAGTAGCTTGTGCTCGTGTAAATGGAATTACCAGATTACAGTCACTTATTGGCCCGATCGTCGGGTCGTTTATTCTTGATGAAAAGGTCTGTAATGAAGCTATGAGCAAGTTATGAATTTAGTCAATGTAAATTATTTTAATTTAATTAGTTTATTATGAACACTATTCCCATCCTATGTGGGTGATACAGAACTTGAAGTCACATAACTGGTTTAAGAACTGACTCCCAATCTATATGTAATAAAATGTCTGTACAAGGCTGGAGGCCGGATGCTTAAGGCTAGCCTCAACCAGCGTTGAGTGGTGATTGCTGAAGGGTACGTGCCTAACATGAGCAATTCAAGTTTGGCAAAACTGTTCCCATTAAAACGTGGTTGGCTCCCAAGGCCACCCCCCCCCCCCATGAAGTTGGTGGCGACACTTATGTGGTGAAATTAATGTTAATTATGTAAGCAGTGGACTGTATATAAGAATTAACAATTATTTGATACCGCACATAACTTTCGGGGGGTTATTTTATTTAAGTTTTATTAAATTAAAATTGAGGTCATCCAATCAGTTTTTGAACATTAGGTTTAGATTTAATTCTGGGTTTAAATGGATTATTCTCTCCTTAATTCTAAGTGGCCAGCGACTTGGGTGCTCGTGCGTCCAGTCGCAAAGTCGGGGCAGAAAATGGGAGCGCCGAGCAAGAAAAATACACTGTGATGATAAAGAAGCTGAATCAGCTGGAAGTCATGAAAGCCACCACAAGCGTCAAGAGCAAACACCTTAGATTCCTGGAGCGTCAGGAGATGGCGCACACACCAGGAACACAAGCCATCACGGACCCAGGGGCCAGAGTGTCTTTCCCAGAGGCACAGTTTCCTCAGCCCATCCTCCTAAAATATCAGTACTTAGAGTAACGATGTGGTCCGTCGTGTTAATATGGAGGTGATGGACCAAAAGAAAGTAAACTTTTGTATTATTGAATTTAAACAAACCAGAATTGTTTTCTATTCACGTTGTAAATGTAACCTATCCTAAGGCTATACACGGTAGCAGAGGCCTAATAGAGTATATGTATGTGCTATTCTAGCTCGGATAATATTTAAGATTGGCTTTAGTTGTATTACTTACGGACTATAAAGTTAATACTTGCAAATTCTACTTTATATTTATCCATCATTTTCTATTTGCACGATCGCCCACATAATTATAACAAAGTACTATTTTATCAGGAGGTTTCCACACATGTGCTGAACACTATAAACACTTTGCCACGCTCTCTTGTTGCAGGCACCGTGCCTCAGGTGTGGCAGGCACCGTGCCTCGGGTGTGGCAGGCACCGTGCCTCAGGTGTGGCAGGCACCGTGCCTCGGGTGGGGCAGGCACCGTGCCTCGGGTGGGGCAGGCACCGTGCCTCAGGTGTGGCAGGCACCGTGCCTCAGGTGTGGCAGGCACCGTGCCTCAGGTGTGGCAGGCACCGTGCCTCAGGTGTGGCAGGCACCGTGCCTCAGGTGTGGCAGGCACCGTGCCTCAGGTGTGGCAGGCACCGTGCCTCAGGTGTGGCAGGTACCGTGCCTCGGGTGGGGCAGGCACCGTGCCTCGGGTGGGGCAGGCACCGTGCCTCGGGTGTGGCAGGCACCGTGCCTCGGGTGTGGCAGGCACCGTGCCTCGGGTGGGGCAGGCACCGTGCCTCAGGTGTGGCAGGCACCGTGCCTCGGGTGGGGCAGGCACCGTGCCTCGGGTGGGGCAGGTACCGTGCCTCAGGTGTGGCAGGCACCGTGCCTCGGGTGGGGCAGGCACCGTGCCTCGGGTGGGGCAGGCACCGTGCCTCGGGTGAGGCAGGCACCGTGCCTCAGGTGGGGCAGGCACCGTGCCTCAGGTGGGGCAGGCACCGTGCCTCAGGTGGGGCAGGCACCGTGCCTCAGGTGGGGCAGGCACCGTGCCTCAGGTGGGGCAGGCACCGTGCCTCAGGTGGGGCAGGCACCGTGCCTCGGGTGGGGCAGGCACCGTGCCTCAGGTGGGGCAGGCACCGTGCCTCAAGGGAAGATGACCATGAACAATAAAGGTGCTGGACATGACCCTGTAGGAGAAGAGAAGCATGCAGGCGTCCACTACGTCACGCCTTACGAGTTCCTCAAAGGGTGAGTGGGGATACAGGCGCCTCCTAGCGTTTCCAGATATCCAATAACGGGTGTAGCACGCGTGCGTGTGTGTGTGCACGCGTGTGAGGTGAAGAATGTGATTGTTGAGTGCGAGCCAACACAATGGCCGGGCCACCATTCTCCTGCCAACTCATCTTTCTAGACCTCGTTTACACCTGCGAATTGTCCCGCGCAAAGGCCGTTTCCTTTGTCATATTCTCCAGCTTCATCACGATCTTCCCATCCCTCGAGAATCTGTTGTGGAGACGCTGCGTCCCGTTTCCTACGCCTTGAGGGTCATTAAGGGTCATCTCGCCTCTCAAATTACCGCAAAACAAGCGACTGACAAGCTGGTGAGAGTCATTGGCATGTAAGATACAGATACGAGAAGCAGTATAATACAGAGAGAGAGAGAGAGAGAGAGAAGCGTTGTGCCACTCTTGAGAATTTCGTCGTTGATTTGTGTGTGAAGTGTCAACACGACCGACGGCCAGCACCTACACCCGTGGCGTGTGATTTACTGTGCAGGGGGAGGTCTACGACAGGAGTTCTACACCGTGTGGAGCTCAAAGAGAAGCAGCACACGTGTAGGCCCAGACAAGCAAGCTAGCATCCCGCCATGGTTGCAAGGTAACTCCAGCTTGGTGCTTCTGACTGCCGTCAGGTCAGAACATTTAGGGAAATCCCGGCGCTCCAGAAACCTGAATGTAGCCAAATTTCCTTTGGTGATCTCAATGATTGCCTCGCGCCTAGCAACGCTTTCTGTAACGTGTGACAGATGAGACCATGGTGTCCGTATTGGTAACTGAATGCGCTGACACGATAAACCTGCGCTTGCAACACAAACTAGACGATCGAGGTTCGAGCCCAGGAAGGAACCAGGAACAACTAAAAAGAAATCCCTAGCATGTGGAGCTTGTACTACTAAGAGAAGGCCTTTCTCTTCCCCCTAGAGACCAGGGAATGTCCACCTCCACCACTCTGGAGGCGACATTCCGCTGTAAACGATAATCACAGGTCTCTACCTGCAAACGTTTGCAGCAGTTGATCAGAGTGAAGAACCTGCAAGAATATCCCGCTGACTGACTTCTTCAGTGAACTTGAAATCATGATATCGATTTCATGATTTTGTGAATAAACTCATCATTTTGGAAGGTCGGAAGAGTAGGTAGGCCTGGGCAAGTAACTCGCCCTCATAAACAATGACAAAATGCTCGTTAAATCAACCACCAAACCAATTATTTAGGAATGAACACGCAGTATTAACAATCGTTGGTCACAACATGCTTCACCCACCTCCTACCAATACAAATAATTGTTTGGTGGGAGATTAACAGCTGGTTACGCCCACCTGGCGAGGGGGGGGGGGGGTAGGGTGCTGTTCGTCTCCCACCAGGCAGTATACACCCCCTAGTGTGTGGTGAAGAGCAGTGTACACCCCCTAGTGTGTGGTGAAGAGCAGTGTACACCCCCTAGTGTGTGGTGAAGAGCAGTGTGCACCCCCTAGTGTGTGGTGAAGAGCAGTGTACACCCCCTAGTGTGTGGTGAAGAGCAGTGTACACCCCCTAGTGTGTGGTGAAGAGCAGTGTACACCCCCTAGTGTGTGGTGAAGAGCAGTGTACACCCCCTAGTGTGTGGTGAAGAGCAGTGTACACTCCCTAGTGTGTGGTGAAGAGCAGTGTACACCCCCTAGTGTGTGGTGAAGAGCAGTATACACCCCCTAGTGTGTGGTGAAGAGCAGTATACACCCCCTAGTGTGTGGTGAAGAGCAGTGTACACTCCCTAGTGTGTGGTGAAGAGCAGTATACACCCCCTAGTGTGTGGTGAAGAGCAGTATACACCCCCTAGTGGGTGGTGGAGGTGCGGGCCGCGTGGCGCCGCAACAGGTTGCCGCCAACACAGGACTGTAAGGTTAAAGCTGTACTCCCATCCGGCCCGCCACCACCACGCCCTCCCTCACGCCACCACCACGCCCTCCCTCACGCCGCCACCACCACGCCCTCCCTCACGCCACCACCACGCCCTCACGCCACCACCACGCCCTCCCTCACGCCGCCACCACGCCCTCCCTCACGCCGCCACCACGCCCTCCCTCACGCCACCACCACGCCCTCCCTCACGCCGCCGCCACCATGCCCTCCCTCACGCCGCCACCACGCCCTCCCTCACGCCGCCACCACGCCCTCCCTCACGCCACCACCACGCCCTCCCTCACGCCGCCATCACGCCCTCCCTCACGCCGCCGCCACCACGCTCTCCCTCACGCCGCCGCCACCACGCCCTCCCTCACGCCACCACGCCCTCCCTCACGCCGCCACCACGCCCTCCCTCACGCCGCCACCACGCCCTCCCTCACGCCGCCACCACGCCCTCCCTCACGCCGCCACCACCACGCCCTCCCTCACGCCGCCACCACGCCCTCCCTCACGCCGCCACCACGCCCTCCCTCACGCCACCACCACGCCCTCCCTCACGCCGCCACCACGCCCTCCCTCACACGTAAAGAAGAACATAACAATTAGTCAATGGTTGTTAGGACCAAAGGGTTGTACAGCTGGCGTAGTTCTGACCAACCACGGCAGTATCAAGCATTAGACATATGTACAGTTGAGTGTGTGTATATGCTAGAATATTATATAAACTTAATGAATGAATATGTTATAAACTTAGGACAATTGTTGTATATCTTTTGTATAATTTGTTAATTTAAATTTAAATTTTGCCCCGAACGGGGTTTATTGGGCAGCGTCACTCATCCTGTGAGTGGACACACCACCATAGTGACAGTATTGGGCAGCGCCACTCATCCTGTGAGTGAACACACCGCCATAGTAACAGTATTGGGCAGCGCCACTCATCCTGTGAGTGGACACACCGCCATAGTGACAGTATTGGGCAGCGCCACTCATCCTGTGAGTGGACACACCGCCATAGTAACAGTATTGGGCAGCGCCACTCATCCTGTGAGTGAACACACCGCCATAGTGACAGTATTGGGCAGCGCTCATCAGTGGACACACCGCCATAGTGACTCATCCTGTGAGTGAACACACCGCCATAGCAGCGTGTACAACACTCCCCAATAGGAAGAAAACCCGCTGGGTTGTTCATCCTGTCACTTGTACCCAAATACAGCTGGGACTTGCTTAACTGTCTCAAGTGAACAGCTTCTCAAACAAGAAGATTAACATCTATCAACTCTTAAAAGCTTACGTTATCTTGCGGGTGCAAAATGGGGGAATCTTTTAAGAACAGTATCAATATTTGACAAATAGTGTTTTCCTAACTCAAACAATGTGAGGTTTATTATTCTACACATATTTCTAATGTCTCTCAGGTGTTCACATTCACGTAGATAGTGGTCAAGGCGGTGTCCGTCACTCTCACCACAGATTCTGCAACTCCGCTGCTCAACTGTTGTTTCCATTCCGAACAGCCATGGATATTTGTATCCAAGACGGATTCTCGCTATTACTGATTCTCTCCCGCGGCCACCTTCTCTTCGTCCATAATGATTGGGATTGCCAGCATCAACCACATTGTACCATCGTACAGATTCACTGGTTTGTTCTTCTATCCTCCTTTCCTCAGTAACCTTGTCACTGTGATGTTGCCTGACAATACCTGTGATGTGACTTTCCCCAGTGGTGGTGCCGGTGGTTTCATCCAGTGGTGGTGCCAGTGGTGGGGTTCTCTAGTAGAAGTAATAGTGATTCTTGGTTTCAATAGAGAACACGATCGCCATACCGGACCTATAATTACCCCGACCCAAGTTACTCCTAAATTGCTGACCTACGTAACTCTTAATCCCCCCAGGCACCACCACCAACATTCCTTACACACACTGGGAATTCCCAATTCTCGACCCTCGGGTATAATCTCATTCCTGTTCGAAATTTCACGCATTCTCAGCCTGATTATTTGTCCGGACGACGGGGCCCGTGTTTCTGGCCCTCGCTGATCGAACCACCAATGAGAGAGGCTAATGTAGCCTCTGGTTCGCTGCGAGTAACGGGTGAACCGGTTCAGTTTCAGGGCGAGTAACAGGTGACAACCAGGGGGGGGGGGGATGGAAGGGGGAGGTGGGGGGGGGGGTGTCAACAAAGACAGCCTAGGAGACAGAAACCAAACTTTATAAAAAAAGTTACATATAAAACTACCCCGCAATTCTTGGTTTCTATTAAAAGGTAATTTGCATATTCATAACTCGGCTCCCTAATAAACATAAAACGCTAATCCAGGTTATCCCTGTGTACTTGGCCTCATGTTTGGCAGGATGTGATCACCGTGGCGCCGTGCCCCTCTACCACCGTGCCCCCTCTACCACCGTGGTGCTGTGTCCCCTCTACCACCGTGGTGCCGTGTCCCCTCTACCACCGTGGCGCCGTGCCCCCTCTACCACCGTGGCGCCGTGCCCCCTCTACCACCGTGGTGCCGTGCCCCCTCTACCACCGTGGTGCCGTGCCCCCTCTACCACCGTGGTGCCGTGCCCCCTCTACCACCGTGGTGCCGTGCCCCCTCTACCACCGTGGCGCCGTGCCCCCTCTACCACCGTGGCGCCGTGCCCCCTCTACCACCGTGGCGCCGTGCCCCCTCTACCACCGTGGTGCCGTGTCCCCTCTACCACCGTGGCGCCGTGCCCCCTCTACCACCGTGGCGCCGTGCCCCCTCTACCACCGTGGTGCCGTGCCCCCTCTACCACCGTGGCGCCGTGCCCCCTCTACCACCGTGGTGCCGTGTCCCCCTCTACCACCGTGGCGCCGTGCCCCCTCTACCACCGTGGCGCCGTGCCCCCTCTACCACCGTGGCGCCGTGTCCCCTCTACTACCGTGGCGCTGTGCCCCCTCTACTACCGTGGCGCCGTGCCCCCTCTACCACCGTGGTGCCGTGCCCCCTCTACCACCGTGGTGCCGTGCCCCCTCTACCACCGTGGCGCCGTGCCCCCTCTACCACCGTGGCGCCGTGTCCCCTCTACTACCGTGGCGCTGTGCCCCCTCTACTACCGTGGCGCCGTGCCCCCTCTACCACCGTGGTGCCGTGCCCCCTCTACCACCGTGGTGCCGTGCCCCCTCTACCACCGTGGTGTCGTGCCCCCTCTACCACCGTGGCGCCGTGCCCCCTCTACCACCGTGGCGCCGTGCCCCCTCTACCACCGTGGCGCCGTGCCCCTCTATCAAGCACCTTCACTGCCCACTCACATAAATCTGAATATTCATTAAGAGAGATTTTTCATTAACATCCCTCGAACCAACGAGATAATATATGTTTATTGACCAGTACTGATGCGGGCCGGAACGGATTGTAGTGTTGAGTTTACAATACATTCATCAGAACTTTAGAAAGAACGTTACAGAGAACTTTTTCAGTGTCAGAGTAGTTAACAGGTGGAATGCATTAGGCAGTGATGTGGTGGAGGCTGACTCCATACACAGTTTCAAGTGTAGATATGATAGAGCCCAGTAGCCTCAGGAACCTGTACACCAGTTGATTGACGGTTGAGAGGCGGGACCAAAGAGCCAGAGCTCAACCCCCGCAAGCACAACTAGATGAACACACACAGGAAGGGAAGAGAGAGATTAAGTAAACTCTCCACGCCTCTTCAGGCAGGTATTTCTCGTGAAATCTAACGGATATGGAAAGAAATCCAGCAGCAATGTCTTACACAGTTTTGTTCAGTTGGTTTTCAGTTAGGTTTAAATTAAAATCCTTAGTGGCGCAGTGGTAGTTCTCCTGGACGGGGAGGATTGACTAGGCGCCAATCCTTAACTGTACGACTGTGTTCACCCAGCAGTGATTGGGTACCTGGTTCTTAAACGATTGACGGGTCGTGTTCCAGGGGAGGGGGGGGGGGAAACCAGAGGGTGGGATTTAATATGGCGGCCCCAGGGCCGTGAAGCGAGAGATGTGGCAACCCGGACGGCACACTTGCCATCACAATGGTTTATTTTTAGTCGAGAGGTTTGGGCATCTTGCCTCGCTCCCCGTCTCGCTTACTGGACTGTCCATTAGTTTGCTCGTCAAGATGCACAGTTAGCGTGACGTACACCTGCCACCACACACACCTGTCATCACACACACCTGTCATGTCACGTACACCTGCCACCACACACACCTGTCATGTCACGTATACCTGCCACCACACACACCTGTCATGTCACGTATATCTGCCACCATACACACCTGTCATCACATCAACATCGGAGAACACACACATGGTAACCAAATATGTTCCGTTTCTAGAGTACAAATGATTCATTTTTATAAAGCATGACACGTGTATAGCATGTCTAGAGCAGGACGGGTTAGGTGGCTCTGGTGACGTCGGCAAAAGTTTATTTTTGCATCGTGTCTTCAGGCCAGGCTCGTTAAAGCAGCGTAACTCCCCCAAGACGCATTCATGAATTTTAACGTATTGTGTATTAAAACATGTTTATATATATATATATATATATATATATATATATATATATATATATATATATATATATATATATATATATATATATATATATATGCACACACACTAGCAGGGATATAAGGAGACAGGAGACGCCATCCCCAGTTCTTGGGACTGAGTTAAGAAAATGGATTATTGATCGACAAATCTCGTCAGCTGACTTAGGCAGAGAGAGTGGCAGCTTAAGCTGATTACTTGCCAGTCACCTTTACTGACAGCTTCCCAGTCACCACTACTGACAGTTAACTGGTAACTATTTCTTGAGCGGTTTCTATTCCCCACCGTGCATAAACATGCCTCGTGTTCGCTCCTTGACTTAACTCACGAGAATCAGTAAGTTACTCACAGCTATGGTGCAAGATTCTTGCTTCCCTAGGATAAAATCCCACTGCAGTTCCTTGGCAGTAAGTGGCAGTGTATCCCATACTCATCCTGTGAGTGGTAGTGCACTCCATACTCATCCTGTGAGTGGTAGTGCACCCCATACTCATCCTGTGAGTGGTGTTACACCCATACTCATCCTGTGAGTGGCAGTACACCCCATACTCATCCTGTGAGTGGTGTTACACCCATACTCATCCTGTGAGCGGTAGTACACTCCATACTCATCCTGTGAGTGGCAGTACACCCCATACTCATCCTGTGAGTGGCAGTACACCCCATACTCATCCTGTGAGTGGCAGCACACCCCATACTCATCCTGTGAGTGACAGTACAAAAAGTCTGACCTCAGCGGAGATTTTGACATTAATAATTCCATCTAACCTTCACCCATGTAATTATATTCATAATGTCAGCTAGTTAGACTTTTGTTTTTCCATGACGATATTTTAGTATTTAAAATAATTATACAGTGATGGTAGGTCATGTACTGATGCAAAGGTATTTTAGATATGGGGCATACACGAGTGTAGCAGACCTGCTGTTTACTTATTATTATTATTATTGTTATTATTATTATTATTATTAGTGTTATTCACAGCTTACTCATTGAGTCTCACATAGGTCATTTATTTACTGGAAGATAATTATGGATGCTGTGCAAAGATTACAGATATTTTACCATTTGTAATAAGATGGTTTGCCATGTCTTGGATGAGTTTAGAATGATCTCTAAATGGCTCTGTTTCGTCAGAGTCTAACATGTGATGTTCCGGTGTGTGTGTGTGTGTGTGTGTGTGTGTGTGTGTGTGTGTGTGTGTGTGTGTGTGTGTGTGTGTGTATGTGTGTGTGTCCCTGTCTTTGTCCACACACTTTATGTAGATCCCCGTATAAGCCACACTGCCAGGGATACCTGTGGCCGAGTGGTCTTGGAGCTGTGACAATGTCTGTTAGTCTGTGTTACTTGGCCCATACACCTACTCCCCCCCCCCCTGGGGGGTCTGAAGACCACCACCCCGCACCCCTGGACGTTCTCTTCCCCACCGGGTCACCACCTGGAGGCCTCCACCCACAGCACCTCCCCCACAGCCCCCACAGTGAACGTTGTGGCGTGGGTAACACACACACTCGCCTCACGCCTCCATAGCGATTAGCTCTGGATTCACGTTTTGCCCAAGGAAAATTGACTGGGCGCCAATTCTTAACTGCTTGCCCCCCCACCCTTTTTACCCAGCAGTAATTGGAGATCTGGTTGCAAACCGATTGGCGGGTCGTGTTCCAGGGGAAACCTATCAGCGTCCGGCTTACCATGACCTATGGGATGGTGAAGTTATAAGCCTGGTAATATTGTACTGCCGTCCGCTCGACTTATACAACCACCCGACCACCACAATACACTAGAACTAATCCCCAATACAAACCATTTTCTATACATCATTCACACCCGTGACGTCACCAATCATACAATCACCACCAGCCCGTCTTTAATGTTGATTAATATATAATTTATCTGGTGGTTTATATATGAGGTCACGCTGTACAATACCGTATTAATCTTACCTTTGGGTTAAGCTTACAGATAGTGGCTCTACTCCTTTACAATTAGATTCAAACCAAAAGAGAAAGAGCTTTCCGATAAAATTGATCGTCAGGAGTTCCCGCACACCCGACTACCCTCTGGGTAACAATTCCCTCCACGGCGGGAAAGTGGTGTTTCAAGGCGGGGGAGGGGGGGGAGCCTTCAAGACGCTCTTCTTCCCTGCTTTATGGGAGGTAAAGATGCCGTGGTACTTTAAGAAGTACCGCGCCGTCTCAAGTCTCGTGTCCGGGAGTCTCAGAGGAACACTGCTTCATCTTAACCTCCCAGACGTCACGAGGGCGAGTGAAACCTGTACTTTTCCTGTATTTTTTTTCTCTCGCTGCGTCAAGGAGGAGACGCGATAAATACCAGACACAACAGGAAGGCAGTGCGAGGTTATCCTAACTTTATTTTCTTGTTTTTTCCCCTGTCGCCAGGAGAGCGGTGGGGAGAACCCGGGGTAAATACTCAAACTAGGGAAGGATTTTCTCTTAACTTTGCTCGTTTCCTCCCCGCGAGTAGCCGGGAGCAGCACACGCCACACATGAGGCCCAACGCCGCTTTCTTTCACCCTTCTCAAATGGTGCCACGACGATTGAACCCTGGGCAGGACGGTCAGCCCGTCCTCATAAAGAAAGGCCAAAGACCATTCCATGCACCCGCCAAACCCCAGCTGTTTATGAATGAAAAACGGTTTACACACGACTCACAACTATTGACGTTCGAACACTTCCGGAACAAGTGCTTCGCTGACGACTTGTGTTCGAACCACAACGCTGTAAATGCTTCACCCACGTACAAGTACAAATAATCGCCAACAGAACCTAAACACCTAACCAATGCTTAAATATGCACAATATGCTAGTATATAACAGTATTAAATTATATTTGAGAAAATTCTTATTTTCAATGAATAGCATGAAAAATTGATTAATGCGTCTTTGGGGTCGACCGCTGGATGGAATAGACTTAGTCTGAGGACGGGTTGAGATGGCACGCTTGGGCATTCCCCTCAACTGTTTGCCCCTGTTCACCCAGCAGTAATTGGTGACCCAGATGTACCAATTGACGGATCTTGTTCTCAGGAAACACGGAACTCAACACCCGGTGGATCACAGGACCAAATGACCCGTCAGAAGGATCCCTTGCCAACATGCGGGACCCTTCATGAACTGTCTCACCCACTACCGTCACCTGTACGGAACCCAACGAGCACAATTGGTGTGGCTCCACTTTATAGACAGACAGTGCATGCCTCCCCCCCCCCCACAATGCTACCAAGGAAAAAAAAATGGCTAATAATTGGCCGGAAATCACCAAATGGATTGGAATGTCTTCAGCGAGCGAGTAGACTGAGACAAGTTGATTTCACCATCTCATCATCTCGCTGGCTCTCTCAGCCCCCCTGACAGGTGATTGACACAGCGGCAATCTATTTGGTAGCCAGGCCGCCTCTTGGCTCAAACACACCATTCTAACTGGATGCTGTTCTTTTTATAGTGTTCTACTACAGGCATGGCCAACCATACGAGGCTACCCACGTATAATACAAGGTGTGACCACCCCTCATGTTCTATTAAAGTAACCAAGATGACTGACAGAGATGCGTCCTTTTTTTTAACCATATTGGTCCTATAGGTTAAGATCGAGGGGGGGGGGGGGTTGGAGATGATTACTGAGAGCACCAGCGGTGTGGGCGAGGCTGGTACTCTCCCACGGACACGCTGCCAACACCTCGACTCCAGCCACTGGAAGCGCAAAGCCAAATTAAGGCAGCTCTCGAGCATCCGCCTAGAGGCTTG